TCCACTTTCAGAACTCCCTCTTCTATCAGCTGAGGAAATCCAGAGTCGATGTGACAAGACTCTCATCCTCCCGTACCTGTTTACCATCCTGAGACCTCAGACCAAAACCCAGCCAGAAGTGACCGACGAACCCTCTCTACATATTAAACATGCTGAAATACACCCACGTCCCCAATTAAATGCGTTTTTCTATAAAATAATTTTTAAGGGTTTGAATAATTTATCTTGGGAAATCATTATTTTTGATTTTCATATTTTAGGGCTAGTGCATTTTTTCCAGGTTTCAAACGTTTCCAAAAGCCTTTGAAGCATCAACAGGTCCTAAACACTGGGTCTACAGAACACAATGAATAAAATATCCTGGAAAACAGGGAAAAAAATGTCTTGGCATTTGGTGTAATGCGTTCGTTAACTAGGGGCAATTTTGCCCCCTCTCTCTCCTGGGACTTTTGGCAATGTCTGGAGACATTTTTGGTTGTTACGACTTATTGACACAAATAATCTATAATCAATCTATAAATCAAAGTTTGAAGTGAGTTTATTATGAGCCAGGTCTGAGGACTATACCCCTGGGGGCCTCCTTCCTCAAGGAAGGAAGCCCACCGAAGAAGTGGCGTGTACAGAGTGGTTACATACCATCTTGGAACAAGGGGAATGTATACATCACATATGACAGGAATATCTCTTTTACTACTGTCATGAGATGCTTAGCTAGCACTGAAAGTCAGTGCTCATAAGGCAAGAACAGCAGGTTGGTAATTAACTCTTCATTTCCAGGAATAGTTGCTTATCCTTAAAGAAATGCCGATATTAGGGAGGAAGCTACATCTGTATCTTTAAGGGCATCACTCTTGTCTTTGGAAAATGGTAAATGTTTAAAGCAGATGTACAATGCATGCTCAACAGGCCATGTCAGGTCTTTTTGGAAAAACAAGGTCAGGCCAAATTAGTTTTAAACTAAATAGCTTCCTCATATATTCCAGTATATCTAATACTCATGATTTATTCATCGGACTGGAGGCTAGCTGTGCCACTGACATCTATGGAGTAGAGGCCAATGATGTTGGTAAACATCCTACAATGCACAGGACAGCCCCCACAAGAATTATCCAGCCCAGAATGTCAATAGCGCCGTGGTTGAGGTCTGATGCTTGCATTTGGGAAAAGAACTCTAAGTATGGGAAAGATGGAAATAACACACATACACAGACTTTGCCAATATCTCTGGGCTCACTCTGGGGGCACCAGTAACACATGGCTATCCCTGAAACAAGGGTCTTTATTCTTTTACAGTTAAATGTTATTTAACTATTGAACATTTTCTGAATTAAATCATTTTATGTAACACTTTCCAGAATGTGAACTTATTCCTTAAAACACTTACGAGTAACGATACATCCAGGGAGGTGCCTCCATTGCCGAAATGCTCCACATCCAGGGCCAAGATTCTGCCATCCTTCATGAATCCAGCCTGGGGAAAGAGAATTGACATTAGATACTGGTGCTGGGGACCACGTCTTTCTAATGTTTACTTTGTCACTTGTGCACCCTCCTCATATAAGCAAAAAGCTTCATGACATTGGATTTGGCAATGATTTCTTGGATATGACATAAAAGCACAGGCAATGAAAGAAAAAATCAACAAATTGGACTACCTCAAAATGAAAAACTTCCATGTATCAAAGGACACAATCAACAGAGTGAAATGGCAACCCAGGAATGGGAAGAACTCTTTGCAAATCATATATTGGAGAGGGGTTAATATCCAGTGTGTATAATGAGCTCCTACAACTCAACAACAAAGAAACAAACACCCTGATTAAAAAGTGGACAAAGCATTTGAATAGAGATTTCTCCAAAGAAGATATAAAGATGTCTAACAAGCAGACGAAAAGATGTTCAACATCACTAATCATTAGGGAAATGCAAACCAAAACCACAAGATACCACCTCACACCCATTAGCGTGGCTCCTATAAAAACAAACAAACAACCAGTAACAGAAAATAATACATGTTTGTGAAGATGTGGAGAAATTGGAACCCTCGTGCACTGTTGGTGGAAAGGAAAATGGTGCAGCTGCTACAGAAAACAGTATGGAAGTTCCTCAAAAAGTTAAAAATAGAACTACAATATGATCCAGTAATCCCGCTTCTGGGTATTTATCCAAAAGCACTGACAGCAGAGTCTCGAAGAGATGTTTGCACACCTATGTTCATAGCAGCCTCATTCACAAAAGTCAAGGGGTAGAAGCAACCCGGTGTCCATTGATGGATGAATGGATAAATAAAATGTGGAATGTACAAACAATGGAATTTCATTCAGTCATAAAAAGGAAGGAAATTCTGACACATGCTACAACATGGATGAACTTTCAGGGAGTTATCTTAAGTGAAATAAGCCAGACACAGAAAGACAAATACTGTTTGATTCCGTTGATTTGAGGTACTTAGAGTAGTCAAATTCCTAGTGACAGAAAGTAGAACGGTGGTCCCCAGGGGCTGTGGGGAGGAAGGAATGGGGAGTTATTGCTGAATGGGTGCAGAGTTTCAGCTTTACAAGAAGAAAAGGATTCCAGAGATGGAGGGTGGTGATGGTTGCACAACAATGTAAAGGTACTAATGCCACCAAACTGTATACTAAGAAATGGTTAAGATAGAAATTTTATGTGTGTATTTTGCCACAACTAAAAATAATAATAAAAACGGAGGGGCGGAGAAAGATATAAAACCAAAACAAACAAAAACTCCTCCTGCCCATTCATCACTACTCGTCTATCAATCCTTTTCTCTCCTCCTAACGCAAACCAACTGCCTATTTCTTGACCTCTCCGTCTCGCCACAGGTCCTGGATTCTGGCTCCCCTCCTCACATTTCTACCCAAACCTTCTCCCCGAAATCCACCTGACCCCCTAATCTCTGCATCCGGTGGCCTGCTTCTAGTGTACTCCGCACAGTTTTCTCATAGGGCCAAATCCAACAAAAATTCCCAGCAGCATTTGGTGTTGCTGGAGGTCTTTCAAATAAACATCATCCTTGCTTTTAAGGTGTATCCAATACCCCTGTTGTCTGTGGAACTGAATTTTTAATTTTCTTTAATGTAGTTAAAGTTTAAATAACCGTATGTGCCTTGTGTCTTCCGTACTGGACAGTGCAGTCCAAGGGGATGATGGTGGCATTACTAGATGGTAAAAGCTTGAGTCCTCGAATGATTTTTTGGAGCAGGGTCCTCTCCTCTCCCCTCCCCCAACTCCCACTGATTACACTGGGCTGTCACGTGAGCAAAAAATAACACAATAAAGGTTTAAGTCCCTGAGAGTTTTTAGTTGTTTCTTATAGCAGTTAGCCCATTCTGACAAGTAAACTTATTGCTTATAAAGCAAAAAATAATTATTTTCTGTTAAGGAAATTTTTCTAGGAATTTCTGGGACAGAGTTTTACAAAAATACTCCTGATATATTGAAAAATGAGGAACCTGTTGGCAAATAATTGCAATTTGATGTAACACTGTTGTTACGGGAATTATTCTGCTGTTAAAGTTTCTGGGAACAGTACGGTTATGAGATCTACTTTCACAGATGCATATCCTCGTGTGTTTTCCGGTTATTTGCTCTGCACCAGCCAATACCAGCTAGTACTCTTCACAAACTGACATCTCTGAGCAAAGCAGAAAAGCTTCACTGAACAATCAGCACAAGGAATGGAAAGTTCCATGGAAGCACAATTGGTTGATTTGCTCATTGTTAGGCCCCATTGGAGAGTAGCCAAATGCTGCGCCCTGCACTTACGGAATGTCCTACTTACAACATGAATCCTTTCTGCCCCCCTTCTTCCTCTACTCACTTTGTACTTTCCAAGGTAAGGGTGGCGGCCCGCAGTTATTAACATGTCTTCTCCTCGTCCCAGAATGCAGCGGACTGCACGACCGTGTCTAAAACAGAAAAGAAAGCAAGAAAGGTAAACTCTTTCACTAAGTAGGTATTACCTGGTGTTTATATAACACCTGGTGAGAGCCTGAGCGGCGTCAGCACACCTAACAGAACTACTCCCTGAGCCCAGCTGTGCTGATCTCAGGCCTACACTGTGGTCTCCCTCCTGCTGGGTTAGGGCACAACGCCTGGCATTCACTAATTATGGGAGGGGGGCTCTTGGGTGCCAGAGGCTCCAGGGTATTGCTTGGGGGGTATTTCCCACTGTGGGAACAGCCTCTGCCATAGGCGAACAGTCCCAAGGCCACAGTATAGACTGGTTACAAACGGAGGAACTCAAGCGGTCTCTGACTGCCAAGAGTTCCCTGAGAGAACAGGTCGGGAATCAGGGTCTTCTGTGTCATGGGATAGAGGAACTGACCTACGTTACTCAGCAGAGAAATTAAGCCTTCTAGGTGTGCCTGCTCCAAAAACAATTTCCTATGAGAATGTTTTGAGATTCTCAAAGGAAAATGGTAATACAAATAAAGGTAACAACAAAAGCAAAATCTCCACTTCAATCAAGGGAATATATATAGTATATGAATATATGAATATGAATTCACACATAGACATGAATATATGAATCTTTTGAGATATATATCTCACAGGTGCTATGGACAAGTAACCCCTACCCTTTCAGGACCTGTTTCTGTCTACTATCCAGGTATTACAGTATTTTTACTGTGGTTTTTATTCTTTTTCAGCAATTGACTCTCATTTTGGTTCTTATAGTATGTAGTTTGACAGTATAAGATAAAGACATTGTAACAAGCTGGCAGCTTGTTGGTGTATTTGTATATTCTATGTAATTTTAAATAACCTTGACCCAGATTTTTCCTCCTTAACCCCAATATTGTGAATATTCGGCATGATCTCATTTTATTTTTGTCTATTTAGCTGATTTTCTCCACTTACTTGTTTGCAGCAAATGCGGTGACGGCCGCCATGATGCCGGTTTTGACCGATTTTCCCCCGAACGACCCACCAACACGCTTTACATGACACATGACCTTGTTAGCTGGGAGCTTCAGGGTCGAAGCCACTATGTCGTGTGAAGGGTAACAGTTTTTGTTAATCTGACCCACCCGTAGCAAGGGAGGGGGACAGCCCTGGCCCATTGGTTCCATAACGCCCATGCTACACAAACTGTGTCCTTACTAATAACGGGATGATTTCCAATGACCTGGGCATGCATCCATGCCTGGTCTCAGTGGTATTTGGCTATAATGACATTGCCAAAACTATCACTAACATTAAGTAGTCCTTTCAATATCAATGAGATGTTTTTGTGTCAATAAATTTTTAAAAATTTTCCCCATGAACCACACCCAAGTGTCCTTTCCACACTGATCCCTAGGGGTGTGTTTCCTGAAGCAGTGAGATGTTGGGGTCTTTCCCTGCATCCTCCTGTCTCCCTGCAGGTTCTTCTCACCTCCCATTTGGATTCCTGCTGAAGTTGGCCAGCGGGTCTTCCCCGGATGCAGGCCTTGCTCTTCTTTGCCATCCTATTGTTTAGAGGGCATTTATATAGACG